ATCCTCCTCCTCCTCCTCCTCCTCCTCCTCCTCATCATCATCATCATCATCATCATCATCATCATCATCATCATCATCTGCCAGATCTGTGACAGACATCGGTGATCATGGTTCTCCATTCATTCCTTTGCTACATTATCCTGGTCTTTCCCTGCCGCCCATCTGTTTAGGTTCTCCAAGTGGATTCCTCTTTTGCCCTCAATTCTGTCTAATAACATACGTATTGAGATTAAAATATCTTTTAAATGATTGTGAACGTTTCCACCCCCAACGACATAAATTACATCCTTTAGGAGGTGTGTTGTTTCTGTTGTGAATCTTGTTATGGTGAATTGTGCGTAATGGTCACCTCAGAAAAATTCCAGTTATCTAAGAATGTCTCTTTGTAATGTAAATTCCAGTTGCCGTATCACCATCAAGATAGACAATTATATCGCGCGACAAGTTTCCCGATAGGCATCGGGGGATTTTGCTTTGCCTTACAAAGTATAGTATAGTATAGTTTGGTACAGCGTAACAGCGTCTTTGGTTTAGAATTTGGTGCTACACTGTTGGACGCGGGAGACCCACATAGAGGCTGTAAAAAACAAAGTTGCGAGTAGTGTCCCTGTTGAGTTGTTGCGTCTCCTGTGCACTGTTACATTCGCTTCTTTCGGTGTTCATCATCATTGCCTTTCTCACCCTGCATCAGGGTATAGGCCACGGATAAACTCCCTCCACTTTTTTTCTATCCTGGGCTATCCTCTTGATGTTTTTCCATGTCTTAGTGTGTTTCGCTGACTCCTAGTATGTGCAGCCTGTATCTATTCATCTCTTGTACTACTTGAGAACTCTTTCCTGCTTCATACAAGGTGCGAACATTCCACGACGAAATCCGGAGAGACTTGTTCGACAGAGAAGGTTTCGGGTCAGAAGAGTCCTTTCGGCTTTGTCTGCTGTCCTTCATTGTTCCTGTTGATGCAGAAACTCCTCCGTCTCCCAAGATCGAAAAATAAAAAGCTGTGTTTGTCCGTGTTTCTGTAACTTACTGTTTTTTACTGGGTTGGGTAGTTGGCGCTCCGCAAACTGGCACTTTTCGGGCGACCAGACCTATGGACTTTTAGTCGCCTCTTACGACAAGCAGTATCACGGCAGGTGTATTCTTTGCTCCCCCATCCCACCAGCAGGGGAGTCTTTCGGTGTTACCAGGGGCGTTAACTCTACAAGGACGCAACGGACACATAGACCGCTATTTCCAACAGCAGACCAAAAGCCAAGTTGTGGCACCTGTCGAGATGTCCAACACAAATCATAAACACAAATTTATCCTCCATGCGCGTGTTCTAAACTTGCTTTTTAAAGTTAAAGATAAAGAAAAACAACTTGAAGTATCCGTACTAATACCGCAGTAAAGCTTCTTTTTTAAAGTGCCCCCAAACAGCACGTCTTCAAGAGTTGTTTAAAGGCCAGAATGTGCGACTTAATAATAAATAGAATTTGTACAGCGCATAACCTTGCTCAACAGCAAGTTTTATGGGCTTTAAACTGTATAATAATTACCCCAGTAGACCTTAGCACACTCAGAAATATTCTCAGCTTCCCGGGAAGCGTACAGTGCAAGTACCGCGCTCAAATACTAACAAACTGACAAGATCTTTCATTGTCTATAACTGAGTACCATTCCCAACTGGGTGAAGTGAGGAAAATTCGTGTAAAGTGTCTTTCCCAACGACACAACGTCGGGCCCCTGACGGGATTCGAACCCACAACCTTACGGTTGCGAGTCCGAGAGCCTAACCGCTAGGCCACCGACGCCAAGTATTCTTACTTTACTTTTACTTTTATCCGCCGCTTATACCCTTTTGGGTGTCGCGGGAAGAAAGAGACGTCTCTCCGTCGCCAGCCAGAGAGCTTGGGTCATGGGGATGCCGGAGTTGTTAAGAGTTTCCCCGACTCCATCTATCCGGGTCTTTCTCGGTCCCCTCTAACCTTGTTGCCAATTATACTTTTTAGTGGCAAAACTAGTTATAAGAAATTAATTTTATAGTGAACACTGTTTTGCGCTAAAAGTTCTCAAACCATTCACTTGTCTTCAAAGAGTGAAATCTATAAGATTGTCGCCACAAAGAGCTCATCGTCTCACCTTGCTGTGCCAGCTCCTGGCCCCAGAGCTTCCTCTCCGCCTTCAGGCCCTCTATCACAGACTCCTGAGCCTGGACTGTGGCTTGTAGCTTGCTCTTGGCCTGCCGGAGGACATCAGCGCATGAGCTCACGTAGACAGGATATAATATTGACGTCACAGAGGATTGAAAAACAATGACTTAAAATAGCAGAATCTATGGGAAAGGGGTGCGGGAGGGTGGGGGTGGGAAATAGAGATAGATAGATAGATAGATAGATAGATAGATAGATAGAGAGAGATAGAGAGAGATATACAGAGAGAGAGAGAGTGAGGGAGAGAGAGAGAGCTATG